TATATTTTAAGGATCTATCCTATTTGCTCTACATACCTCCAGAAAATTGCTTCTAACTCTGTATTGTATCTATCAAAGTTAACTCATTGACTCCCTTAGAGATGGATACCTTTGTGACCAACTTCCTGCTACCACAAACAATAATGAAATAATTATCTTAGTCTCTGTCTCCTTGTGGACCCAAACAAGAAGTTCTCTGGGACATATATCCAAAAGGTGGAGTTGCTGCACCATAGGACAGACAAATAATTAATCTTACTAACTCAGTACTTCAAGACTGCTTTCCAAAATAGCTGAATAGTTTATACTTTCACCGGTTTTTGGAATAAATGATCTTACTAATTCTTGCCAATATGATAGATACAATATCTCATTTTAATTTTTATTTCTCAGATACTAGTGAGTTTGAGCATCACTTCCTATTCTTATTAGCTACTCAGCTTTTCCTCTTGTAGATCACATTCTTACCCTTTGACCATTTTTATATTGAGTTTTCTGTCTCTTATTGTCGATTTGTAGTTCCTAGGAATGTTTCCATATTGATGTCATTAATTTTATGCATTGCTAAAAGCTATTCCAGTCTGTCGCCAGTCTATTAACTTTGTTTAAGGTGTGGTTCATTGACTAGAAACCCTTCATTTTAATATAGCCATAGCCATCATTTCTTTTTTTTTTTTATAATTTTATTTATTTATTTATTTTTTCCCCCAAAGCCCCAGTAGATAGTTGTATGTCATAGCTGCACATCCTTCTAGTTGCTGTATGTGGGACGCGGCCTCAGCATGGCCAGAGAAGCGGTACGTCGGTGTGCCAGCAGTGGAGTGCGTGCACTTAACCACTAAGCCACAGGGCCAGCCCTAGCCATCATTTCTTAAGCAAATTTTTAAAAATTATTGTTGGGTTATGTTTAAGAAGTATAGCCACTCACCTACGTTTTGTTCTACTAACCTTACAGTTTACCTTTTAATCCATCTTTAATCTATCTGGAGTCCAACTTTTTCTATGGTGCAACGTAGGAATTTGTTTTTCTCCCTATTGTGAGCCAGTACCAGCTCCCAATACCAGCTGCAAAAGAGTTTGTCTTCTCTCCATTATGCAAGTGATGCACCTTTATCATGTATCACTCACATTTTTTTGATAAAAAAAAGAATGCTCTTGGAAGAATGATGACCCAGATAAGATGGGCAAGAGAAATATTCCTTCTCATTTGTCTTCAGGAGGGTAATGGTGACTGCTCACTATAGACTCAGCCTTCTGAAGTCACAAGCAAATAAAAAAACCTTGAACTCACCCAGTGGCTCTAAATGGACTTCTTAAAACTCAAGAATAAAGAAAGAAATAGTCTTATTAGGTCAAGTGCTTCAGATATTTCATGTGAATTCCTGCAATTCCTTCAATGTTTAGGAGCATAACAATGTATTTCCATAGCATGTTACATAAATAAAATATTTGAGTGTCACAACTATACTATACATTGCATCATAATTATACTTCTGCAGTAGCTATTTAGGATGTGTGCAGACCTGTTACCCACAAAATTTTCCGATTTTCCCAAAGCTTTCCAAAATTCATGGAATGACTTAGGGTATTTAGCATGATATAGTATTTAACTGGCAAATTTTTTGTAAGCAAGGAAGAATCTAGCCCCAAACACATCTGATTTATGGCTTAATTCAGTATTCTATACATAAAAAGTCCTCAAAAAAAAAAAAAAATGTCCTTGGCTGACTACCTGGCTGCAAGCCCATACATTTACTGGGTTGGAATTTACATGCAGAAGGAAATCTTCTTTCATGAAAGTCATGATCTATTTGCCTTTGCCTTTTGTTAGGAAGAAAAAACACCAGAGACTTCAAGGACTATTATATTGTGTAAAACTTAACTCTATGCAATTGTTCATGGAGTCCTTTCCAGGGACCATACAGCACTATGGATTACATGCTTAAATGAGTATTTCTGCCTTACCCTTGGATTTCGATGGAAATTGTTTTGGAATCTTGTTATTTGGTTACATTGACCAATGATGCTAAACAACAAATAGAAAATAGAATCAAGCAAGCCAGTATTTCCCTGAAACTGGTCGTGCGCAGTATTTTCAGCTGAAGTCCTAACTAAAAGTTTAGTACTATGTAGCATCAGTACTCAGACTTTCTATTTTCAATGCTCATGGATGTACTTCAAGTTTAAGAGCAGAGGATTAAATCCAATCCATCTAACAACACTTAAGCAATGCTCATTATACCCAGAAATTTCTTGAGAGTGTCACAGTCAGACTTGGCAGTGGTTAATCTATAAATCTACAAGATGGAGTCCATAGCTTTTCTTTTTGTTTTGATCTTGGCGAAAACTTGTAATAATTCACCATGACAGAACAAAAAGAATGGTGATTTGTGATTTACAATTCACACGGCTGATATGTTACATTATCAAAATTCACGTTCTATTATATTTTAGAAAGTTAAAAAAAATTCTGTTTCAGAACAAAAGGACGTTATTGGCACATCACAACAGAACATGTGGAAGGTCATCCTCTGCCAGGGAGGAAATGTTATGACGTGAATGAGGGCTCCCATTCCCTTATTTCTCCATAACACAATGACTACACTAGGGAGAGTGAAGGAGAGTTTCAAGTTATAGCAGATAACTGCAAGCTGTTGAAAAGATAGAAAAATGCACATCTTCTTTTTGACCAAAGACTTTTGGCTAATGTGCATCTAGCTAGCATTGTTGTAAACTTTCAACATGCTTTAAGGATGGCAAAACAAAAGGTAAATAAGAAACCAACTTCAGTTGTGTTCATGAGGAAAGGTCTACAATTTTCTGCACAACTTAAAATTTTTTTTCTATTGTGCTTTTATTGGAACATGCATATCATTAGACACTGCTCCTTGATCTCATACCATTTTGAATATTTCTGAAATCTGTGTCAGTGACATTGAAGATTCTGTTTTGACATTCTAAAGAAAATTTCCAAAGTTAAAATAAGAAGATATATGGGAAAACCTTAAGTAAGCTCTAAATGTCCTAATCATATGTAATTTTATTAAAATAACTTATAAAGTCTCCATATTGTATATTTAATGATTTATTTCAGTGTATTCTATTACTTTTACTCATCAATCATATATTTCCAATACCATCAAAAAGAAAAGTTTAAGTTTCTACTCACCAGAAAACATTTTGAGGGAAACATTTTTCTAACTATAAAATATTAGTGTTCTGATCTATTTTTAATAATCCATTGCTAGTCACATAATAGAGACATTACCAATACTGATAGCAGATTTTTAAAAACTAAGTAAATCCATTAGAAACAGTAGAAAACAGCCACTTATTCATCACCACAAAAAGAAAGATAAATGAATTAGACTTTCTGTAACTAAAAACATGTTTCTTTTGGAAAATATTTGTATGGCCTTTTAATCGATTTATGGAGCTAATAGGTTTCATTTGCTAGAGAAAAACAAATGAAAATCCGAACTAAGAATGGCATCACAGATGTCAACTACAATCAAATTTAAGATGCACTTTGTCAAAATAGTAGTTTACAGAAGTGTCCTTACAAGTGAACATTTAGGAAAACAATAATCCTGCTAAAGTAAGAATTCAGAATTATATTTGTAATTAATTCAGCATGCTGCCCAATCTGCTCTACCCCTATTTCTGCTCTTCTTGTGATGGTACAAAGACAAGGAGGAAAGTATGCATATAATTACTTATTTAAGTCAAATAATTTATTCAGTAGATGCAGGGATGAACCATATTAATGGGTACCATCAGAAACGTAAGGGAGTGGTGTGAAAATGCTAATATTCAATATCTACTCAACTTCATTTTAGATTGATGTTGAATTTATCAGTCTTATTTCTCATGTACACGTACACCTTTCCTTACGAGAATTAAGTTTTTGTGTGCTTTAATCCATACAGCTTTCCTATGAAATCAATCAGGTTGGTATTATTCCCATTTCTCAGATGCCCAAGCCACCACTCCCACATGCTATACCCTACCCTCATGCGGCAGTTTTTGGGGCAAAGACCATGATCTAACTTCAAATATCCTCATTCTGATGAATCAGAATCAAGGGGACAGCTCCTTCTGCTATCATAGTCCCTCAACCTAGAATCTTCTTCATTTGGTAAAACCTTACTCATCATCTAGGTTAATTCAGAAATCACCTCTTCTCTGAAACAGATCCCACTGAAATAGATTTGATTATTCCTGCCTCCATTCCTTATAGTACTTATTCATAACTTTTGTAATAACATTTATCGTACCATATCATAGTTGATGATATGCACATCCGTTTCCTTCTGCAGGACTTAGTCTTCTTTATGTCCCTTTCACAGAGCCTGTTACAGGGTCTGGCTTGAAGTAACTTTTCAATAATCAAAAAAGAAAAATAAATTGAATGAGTGACCCCATAGACAAGGCAACAGATAAGAAAAACTGGGTATTGTAACCATGCAGATCCTTGAAGCAGATCCCTTCAGTGGCAGAAGAAAAGGTTTAAGAGTGAGCCAGGAAGTTAATATAAACTATAAAGAGCAATTTAAAAATGTAGATAAAGGAGGAAAAGAATTGGAAATCCAACCAATGCGTGGTGTCATCGCAGCTGATACAAGTGAAGGTAATCAGAAGCAGGCACATTACCATACGAAAAGAAGGATTTCACTCCTGAATAACCAAGGGTTTCTTGTATAAGTACGTAATTTTCTTATATTTACTCTCTAAGATAGGAAGAAAGATGAGAAGGATATTATTGATAATAGAGAGGCCTGCCAGAGAAAGAACCCCAATAAATACTAGCAATTCACCATTCTCTCCAGAAAGGATCTCCAAGACAGCATCCCTTTATTGTCAGTCTGGTAAGGGTGGAAATGGCTGCTGTAAATATCAACAAGGAAATATTCGTTGAGTCCCTAACTCATGCCAAATACTTGGCCAAGAGTTTTCACAGATCATCACATTTTCCTAATAGGAGTTAGATATCATGGTCCCCATTTTACAGGGAGGAAAACTGAAGATCAGAATGACTGAATGAGTTGCTGAGGGTGCACACTTAGTGGGGAATTTTGTTCAAACCAAGTTTGGGGGCTCTTCCTAGTATACCCTACAAACACCTCTTTTAATGTTTGGAAACATTGTTACTCACCTACTGCATTAAATTAAAACGATTCCCATTTTAAGACACTTTGCTTAGGCTATTGCACATTTGCTAAATTGTAATTTGAGGATTCCTTTCAGGTGGAGTTGGAGAATTTGGCTGTATTCTTTGGGCATCTCATGGAAACCGCGTTTAGGTAAATTGTTGTCGTAGTAGTGATGGCTGACAGGTGTGTCCTCCACAGTTTTCGAGAAGGGCCAAAATCCATACAATTTCACGTTCTCACACAGTTCAACCGCCACGCTTGTGATCATCAGGCCAGAGGACAGGCGATACTCCATCACACCCTTAGTTCTCCAGAAAAGGGCAAGATTTCTCAGGTACTTGGGATGGAAAAATATCACCTTTTGTCTTGCTTTAAACTCTTTCAGTGTGTCGTACACTTTAAAAGAGGCACCAGTGTTGGCCCTGAAGGAAAACGCTGGCATAAGAAGGAATGCATCTCCATACGTTGCAATGTCCTCCAGAAATAATGCTTTCTTTTCCTTTAAGTTCCCGTATCTGCCGAATTTTTAAAAAATCATCATCATAACAGCAATAGTAATCAAAGTAGCAGTTTTTGTAACATGAGGTTGAATTTACCAGTGGCCAAAAAACTGAACCATTTCTATCACTGTATATGAAAGAGACAAACAGTGGATTCAGAGAAAACTCTGCAAGTACATATCATGTAAATATCAAGGGCTAGGCCTACATCGCTCTTTCTTGGTATATGGAGGCTTTCACTTCTACTTTCTTACAGAGCGATACCCTTACTGGACATATATTTCTTGTATTAATTTTATCTTCCAACTCAGTAATTTTTTTCTTAGTTTGGTTTCTGACGCAGAAACACCTTGTAAATTTATAATGATGAAAAGTTTTCTCAAACATAACACACTGTTAAAATATCTATACATTAAAAAAGATTAACTGAGCTGTACACTTGTGATTTGTGCACCTTTTATACATGTTGTTATAAAATAAAAGTTTCCTTTAGAAAACCTAAAATATCTATATGCATATATATAGACACACACAAACACACATATATTTTAAATGTCCTCCATGTATTGTGATAGCTCTATATGTTTGATTCAAATAGTACCTTAGTAAATAAATATACTTGTAAGTACAATTATGTGTGTTTAGAGAATAAGCCTTTGGGAGACAAGCACAATATTTTCTATTCTCTCAAGACATACAAGAATTATTTGAGGGGTGTATTCTATTAATAACAATTATTAGTCACTTTTGATGAAAAAAAATGGGGTAAAACTACGTATAAGATTTTTAATAACCAACATTTTGTAGTAGTTACATTGCAAAAAATGAAATAAGGGGATTATTTCTTAGTAATAAAGTATCCAAAGTGAAAACTTGATTTTGCCAGGTTCTCCTAAAGCTTACTCTCTGAAGTTTCTAAACTACTAAGTTTATCAAGAAAGTGCTACCAAGAAAAAAAGAGTAATATAAAATTCCCAAAGAAAATTGAAAAAATTAACTTCACTATTTTTAAAAAGGATGAAGAGATAAATAAAATCTCATTTGATTAGCAACATTCAGCTTACGACATTAGAAGTACCATGGATCATATCTCTTATGAGCCACAATCTTGATGGAATGTCAAAAATTACAAATGTATTCTTACATATTTTCCCAAAAAGCCATTGCAGCTGTACTGCAAGTCAGTCTCAGCAACAAGATTAGTGCTCAGACTAATAAACATGTTAAACAGTGAAAAAAAAATATTCTTCAACAGTTATGTAACTTGGAAGTACTTACTTTAGTTTTATGATACTGGGATTTACAGTCACGAGATTGGTTTTACTGCCAACATCTTTACTAACATTTCCTGTGGTTGGGGGGAGGTTACACCTGAAATTTGGAAGGCAAACTGTTTTCAAAATACAACTTGTAAAAAAAGAAGTACACATCTTGTGTAAACACAAAACACAACTTGTAAAAAAAGAATCTACACATACACATACAATCATTGTCCTTCTATTGGAGAAAATAATGGCTATTAAGGGAGCCTCAGAATCCATCTAATTTCCATTTAAAACTATTTAATAAGTACTGAACTCTTACTTGGCATTTTAACATTGCTTAAAATATGAAAATTTGATAAATGCCTTCAATATTGATTAAGACTTTTATAAGTAACAAAACTAGAAATGACAATTACACCTTGCCTAATTTTTGAAGAGTTCACAATCCTTTTATTATAATTACCATTATTTATATTGATTATATTCCTACAGTGGTATGATCACCAATTTACAGATTTAAAAAAACTGAGGCATTGTGACTAAGGTTATAGAACTTGTCAGAAGCAAAGACTATATAAAAAAATCAAAATCTCCTGATTCCCATATGGATGGTTTTTCTACCAAATTATCCTGTTAATAAATAAAACCCTAATGTTCTTGTAATGATGTTTTCATACTGATGTTCTCATCCTCTTTTGAGTACTAATTTGTTTTTAAATTGGAAAACAAATTAAGAATTGTAATTTTGAGTAATTATATTCCTGTCACAAAAAAAAAGGAAAGTTGGTTATGACTCCCTAAGTATCATTTACAGAGTTTCAAGTAGACCATTTTTTTAAAGGTATACATACAAAGAGACCACCTCTGACTGCTTCCTAAGGAAGGATGTGTTCTGCGATATGGCTGAGGCTGAAGTATTCTATTCCACGCTCCATGAAACATACGAATAAATGAAACATGTACTTCTCTCATTAATAAAAAAGATACATCAGAAAATAATTAAATACAGCACCTTGGGAAAACTAAATATTAATTATAGATAATAGGGCACAGAAATGCCCTCATTAGTGGGGTGCCAGTAACAAATCTACTTTCTAGAACAGTCTCATACTCTTTTGAAGAATCAAAGGTGATTTCCAATAAAGTATCATAGGAAACTCCTAAAGGAAATCTTGGGTATTGTATACATACAGTAACATAGTAAAGCCACTCGTTGCCTATTCTTCCTCCTTACACACTTAACCGAGAGCTCCCAAACTTTTGAAATGAAAAAAAAATAATAATACGCAGTTTCCAGATTGTTTTTATTAACTCTGAATGTGTATAGCCAAAATAATACAGGCTTAAAATTAAATAAATTTTAATGACACTGACCATGACTACTAGCCCTCATTTTGCTTTCAGTTTGGAGGTTAACTTCAAAGGAAATTCTATATTCAGAAAAATACCTGGCATCAGCCAATGCAGAACCTAGAAATATATGCAAATATAAGTAGCTGTCGAGATTTTTCTTTTTTTTTAGTTTTTAAACCTAAACTTGTTGTATTTCCTGTATTTGCTATAAAGTAAAATGGATTTTTAATACTCAGCACAGATGTCTTAGAAATTTAGGTCTATAAAAAGTCTATTACAAGACAAATTATTTATCTTCGTTATGGCTTTTTCATACTGAGTACTTCAACAAAATGGCTAAATCATCCGGGTATTCGCCATTTTAACATTAATCGTGGGAACATGTTCAATAATTGTTGGACTGCCAGGTCTGTTGTTTTGTCATTACCGTCAGCATAAAATTTTAAAATGAGATAAAAGTGAGGGGGAGCTACTGATTCAAAATCGTGTTTCTTTTTCATTTGCTAATAAGGGCAGCATTAAATCGATAAGGATCAAAAGATCTCCTCTGATGGATGAAATCAGTGCTCCTAAAATGGGAAGAAATAGATTTCAACTTACTCTTTTTGCTGAGGAAGTTTTGCCCTGAGCGAACATTTGTGCCAATCTTCCTCTATTTTGTATGTGGGTCACTGCCACAGCATGGCTGATAAGTGGAGCAGGTCTGAGCCCAGGATTTGAACCCATGAACCTGGGCCACTGAAGCGAAACACATGGAACTTTAACCACTAGGCCCCGGGGCTGGCCCCTTGACTTACTTTTTGAAAAGGTGCATTTCAACTGAAATCGTCCTCAACAGGGATGAATTACCTTCCCATTACATTCTGAAAGTGGAGATGCCTTGTAGCTTGGCTTATTAGTATAAGCACACACAGAAACCCCTTTTGTTTCTGTTTTTGCAAGCTAGCTGGTATTGAGATATAAATGTTTTAAAAGACCAGAATTTAGAAGCTGCACAAATTTTTTTTTTTAAATTTCAAAACAGAGAACTAAATAAATGATGTTGCATGGCTGTACAATGCCTAGGTCAGCATTTTCCCAAGTATTATCCGAGAATAAAACTTTCTTGAGATGCTCTGTTTAAAAAAAAAAGAGATTTTGGGGCCAGCCTGGTGGTGTAGTGGTTAAGTTCACACACTCCGCCTTGGCAGCCTGGAGTTCTCGGGTTTGGATCCTGGGTGTGGACCTACGCACTGCTCATCGAGCCATACTGTGGTGGCGTCCCATATACAAAATGGAGGAAGATGGGCACAGATGTTAGCTCAGAGCCAATCTTCCTCAGCAAAAAAAAAAAAAAGAAGAAGAAGAAGAAGAAGAAGTTTTCAAGGTCAGGGGAACCTGGGAAATGTCGCTCTCTAGAGTCCTTCTCAAGGAGCTATGATATCCTTAATCCACTGAAAGCTCTGACAAGTCCTGCAGTGCAGACTCTCTTTCATCATGATTTCACCCAGAGTTTCTGAAAAGTGACCCTAGCACATTTTTATCCTTCTGGTATCAGCATTCTGAGGAACTCATGATCCATCTGACACTCCAGGAAAGCCTACCTAGATAATTTGTAGACTTCAGCAACACAGCTCAAAGGTCAAGATTTAGAGGGGGCGCCTTTACATTATCGCTTTAAAACAGCCGACTGGTCTTTGGTTGCAAAGACACCAACCTGACAGGCCTTACCTAAAAACGAAGTCGGATTCATCTATTTCAGCTCCACAGAGAGACTTATTCAGAATTCCCCCATTTCCGACCACCGCGCACTGATTGTAAGGGGACTCCGTAAAAGGCTGCGACTATCAGGAGAAAGTGAAAAACTATCATGAAATATCTTTAGTTTTAGAACCACAAACACCATCATCAGCTTAACTCAGGTAGCTGAATTTTTATACACACTAAGGAAAGAGGAACAAACAGAAGTAGCACAACACCACAACATGCTGATAAACTTATGATTTAGAATAAAAAACCCTGTAAAACTAAGTTGCAATTCTCTTGAGAGGAATATACATCCTATCATAAACAATATAATGTAATATTACAAAATAGAATATACTTGTATATAAAATGTAATAAAGTTTGCATCATGTAATTAAGTAAATAAAATGAGAATGGCAAAATCCCACGTTATGCCTTTCCAAAAAACAGGAACGTTTTCAGCAAAAAAGAGAAAATGAAGCAATTAGAAAGTAGCACTAAATTGTCTATTCTTGGGCATAAAATTAATAGCTAATGTAGCGAAAGTTTCCTGTGCTTCTTAAATAGTTAGACCTCAGGCTTAGCGATGACAGGAGATTTATGCCTGCCATCTCTGCAAATGACCAGCCAGAGTGCTTCAGGAAGGTCTACCAGCTCTGTGCTGACATATTTCAAATTAATTTCCAAGGCCTGAATCTTTTATTTCCTCCAAGGACCCAACTTACCTACCCCACAAGATTTTCCACTTGCACCAAATCCTCCCCAGTCAGAAACATAACTTTTCAGTTCAACAGTGCACTTTTCCTTTGCTGGTCACTTTCCCTAAAGTAACGACGTGACCTTGACCAGAAGCAAGGGTGCCAGCTCATCCTCCATGGTGATGAGGTCCTGATTCACCTATTCTGTTTCTAGAATTTGAGTGTAAGTCCTCAAGGGCAGAGAGGGTGTTTATTACTTTTAATTTCCTCTCATCTTTCATTGCAAACCTAGCACGGTGCAATGTATGCAGTGACTTTTCAATAAGTGTTTACTGGCCCAGTGGCCGGCCCTGGTGCAGCCGCCAGCTTTGTGCTGGAGCCCACTTACACAAGTTCACGAGAGCTAACTGGTAAATACTCAAGAATTGTGTGACCTGGTTGTTAAGCCATAGGTAAATTAACATCGGCCACAGTGGGGGTATTTACACCACTGAAATCAGCAAATGCTACAAATCAGGGCACCCTCCTGCCCAAAGCCAGTTCACCAGCATCACTGGCAGCTCCCCAGGGCTGATGTGGTTCTGAGCAGCCCAACAGACCCCTGAATCGCCATCACTGCCATGTGTTCCTGATGCGGGATCTGGGAGAGGCCAAACAATCAGAGAGAACTCTGTTTCAGCACTGCTAGGTTTTGTCTTTAAAAATTCAAAATTATAGGGGCTGGCCCAGTGGCGTAGTGGTTAAGTTCGTGCACCCCACTTCTGGCGGCCCGGGGTTTGCGGGTTCAGATCCCGGGCGCGGACATATGCACTGCTCATCAAGCCACACTGTGGCAGGCATCCCACATAAAGTAGAGGAAGATGGGCACGGATGTTAGCCCAGGGCCAATCTTCCTCAGCAAAAAAAGAGGAGGATTGGCAACAGCTGTTAGCTCAGGGCTAATCTTCCTCACACACACACACACACACAAAATTAAAAATCACATTGTGCTTGTTATGGGAGAGGCACTGTTCCAAGGACACAACTTATTAAAGCATTTAATCTGCATAACAACCTTATGAGTGTTTTACAGATAAGAAAATGGAGGCACGGATTTAAGTAACGGCTAGAAAATGGCAGATTCAAACTCTGGCACTTTGCTCCAGACTGCATGCTCTTAACCATTACACACACATCACACACCTTCTCACATTCAATGACAGGATGTTAACTTAAGTATGAGCCTTATTTCTCCTTATAGCCGCAGTGCCTAGCGGCATCGTGCTTGGCTCTTAAATGAACGGTTCCTGGAGACCTCAGGCTATTTCGAGTCACTAAACATCTAGCTCAAGATATCTTCGGACTGTGTTTACTGTAAATTCTGTTTATACTCTTCAGATGGTGTTTACCACAATAAATTCTGAATTTCATAGACAGAGTAGGAACGCAAATACACTCTTTATGGTCCAATAGAAAAGATTACTGTGGGAAACATATCTTCAATAAAGCACTCAAAATAATGAATGTTTTTCTCTGGTTTCTTGGTCAACTGGGGGCAAACATCCATATGCTTTGGGATCTCATGTTCAGTAAGAATTTAAAGAAATTACAAACTTCATCATTCCCTAAGATAAACCTCTGAAGAAAATGCAAATTTGAACGACTCAGCTGTCTGCCTGTTGCTCACTCTGGTTGAAAACCAACTTTGTTGTTTTCCTTTTCGAGCAGAATGCTGGGTGCCCCGCAGTTCTCCGGGGCTGAGCACCACAGAACAGAGCAGGACAGAGCGGGGTGGGGGTGTAAGAAGCAAGGCTGAGAAAAAGGTCAGCCTCCCTGGGAGCCACATCCATGGAAAGGGAATGTCTAAGCAACACAGAAAAGTGACCTCGCTTTGCAATTGTTACTGTCCTGACTTCAGAATTTCCTCCACGGAATATTTCAAAACCAGTATAAATCTGGAAAACGGATACTGTTGTTAATTGCATACAGAATTATCAAGCCTATGTCGTTATTCTTTTCAAGGTGCCAATTAGAGGCCAAATACCTGCTCCTCCTCTGTTCTGGTCAAGGAACACACTAACAAAAATTGCATGGGTAAAAGAGTTGCTCATTGTGGAACTCTCCACGGCTTTCCCTGACAGGGAATATAGTTATTCTTTAGTTATTATCTTTTCAATTATTGGTCATTTCAATGTACCATGAGGACATTTTTAGAATGCTTTATGAGTTATTGTTTTGTCCTGCTTTTTTTTTTTTTTAATTTATTTTTTTCCCCCAAAGCCCCAGTAGATAGTTGTATGTCATAGCTGCACGTCCTTCTAGCTGCTGCACGTGGGACGCGGCCCTAGCATGGCCAGAGAAGTGGTGCGTTGGTGCGCGCCCGGGATCCGAACCCGGGCCGCCAGCAGTGGAGCACGCTCACCCAACCGCTAAGCCACAGGGCTGGCCCATTGTCCCTCTTTTCTTCCAGAAAATTTACAATATTTTTTCTCCCTCATTTTCTATTATTTCTCATTCATTCCTAGCAAATTATTCTTCCTTTGAATTGTAATATATAAAAAAAAATGTTGGAACAACTTACAAGGCCAACAATAACTTAGTTGAAAGAAGTCAAAGGCCCAACAAAAGGAAATTAATTGTAAGAATCCAGTACTTGACCGTTGGTAAACTGCTATACAAAGTGATCCCATTTTTGACCATATTGACTTGGTCTAATTGCTGTTTTTTTTTTTTTTTTTGGTGAGGAAGATTAGCCCTGAGCTAACATCGTTGCCAATCATCCTCCATTTTGTATGTGGGACGTTGCCTCAGCATGGCTTGATGAGCAGTGTGCAGGTACGCGCCTGGGATCTGAACCTGTGAACCCCAGGCCACCAGGCTGATGAAGTAGGGTGTGCAAACTTAACCACTACGCCACCTGGCCAGCCCTGGTCTAATTGTTTTTAATCAAATCGTGAAAAGATTCCTGAGAATCTTTTCTATATACTCTAAGGAATATATTTTATGGGATGTTCTTCATAACAAAAATATCCCCCGAGTTTGGATTTACATTAAAGGTTAAGTTTCTTCTTTTAATGATACTGCATCATTACTCATTAGTTTATTTAAAAATACGTAATGAGTGCAATATGTGTACTGGGGAATGTTCCAGGAGCTTGGGATACATCAACAAACACAGCAGACAAAAATTCTTGTGTTATAGAGATTATGTTGATCGACCATGAATTCTCACCTATTTACTTCCCAAAGATGAGCCACATAAACCCACAGCTCATTGTGAAGAAATTGATTTAGTCACCAAAACTGACAACTGAAAGAATCTTATTCCAGGTGAAAAATGGTCATCTTCCCAGGCCCCAGTAATTACCATGCAGAACGCCCAAGTACCTCATCTCATTCAAGGATGAGTCATGAAGTTCAAGGACTGGGAGAGCTTATCATTTAAGATATAAATACCATTCCCTGCAGAGCCACCCTGCATTCAAAATTGCCTTTTTAAAATAGACCTCAATACATATCTTATACAACAAAACAGAGTACGGTATTTTAATGAATGATCTCCTCCATTATTATACCTTATAACTTAAAGTGAGAGAAAATTCACCTAGAATGGTGACACAAATGAACCACAACAAATCTTTACTCACCACTGGAAACATATTAAAAATGTTCTCTCTAATTAGGATTTCGTTTTTACTTTCCACCTCATAACTCATGTTAGTCCCAACTGGCGTGTTATTTTGAGAAACAATGAAGTTTTGAACAGCATCACAACAGGAAGCAAGTTTGGCTCTGCAAAGGATAAGAATAAAAGGGAGCCAAGGAATAAGATTGAGAAACCAAAAGTAGAGACTACAATGGAAAATGCAAAAGAGGATTTTGCCATATTGACTTTCAGAAAGAAGATAAATCATTCACAAAGATGATATGTTTATCTCATTCCATTCTGACTGGCCCTGGGTGGGGCAAGGTGACCTGGTAGGGTAAAATAGCAAAAAATATTAAACATACTTATTCGCAGGTACGGACTCTCTTACCAACAGAAATACTCGTTAACACAATGGTTTGAAATATAAAAACTTCCTTCTAATGATAATGTTATAACATTAAAGAGAAAAATGACAGAATACATTATAATTATTATATAATAAAGTACAGAAACTAAATTAAGAATAGTTATAATCAACAAAGAAATATGTAATTATTTATTATGAGAAAATCCAATGAAAAGTAGAATTATTCAATACAGTGATTTTTCTTATCTTGATTGAGATATAATTCATAAATAAAAATTGTTTATATTTAAGGTGTTAAACTTCATGTTTTGGTATGCATATACATTGTGAAATAATCACCACAATCAAGCTAATTAATATATCCATCACCTCACATGGTTATTATTATTTTCTTTTTCTTTAACTTTTTTTGGAGGTGAGACCACTTAAGATCTCTTAGCAAATTTCAAGTATACAATACAGTATTGCTAACTGTAGTTGCATTGCTGTACATTAACACAGTGAAATTTTTTTTTATTGAATACAATGAATTTTTAAATGAAGCAAATTTAAATTTGCCATTCCTTATAGAGAGCCCAGAAAAATGTAATTTAGTACCAAGCTATATTTCGAAACTATTACTGTAGAGTGAAATGTTATCATTAGAACGCAGACCCAGGAAGGTCCTTCCAGGGATCGTCTGCGTGGACCCCCACCCTCTGCCAGCGGAATCTAGAACCACTCAGAATTTATATTCTGTTTATGTGATTCTCCAGGGATGTGGATTCCATAACATCTCTTGATAATTATTCCAGAGTTTAATCAACTTTGAAGTCAAGAGATTCTTCCATTTGTACAACTGGACTATCTCTTAACTTAAATCCATTCCCCTTGTTAGCTTTGGTAGAATTTCCTCATAAAAACTCTCCACGTAATTGAAAACGGTAATCACGCAAAAATTGAACCTTCTCAATCGTGAAGAGTTTATAGAATTTCCTCTTTTCTTTTCTCATATTTTCCTCCTAGGACCAGTTTTTCATTATTTTGGTCATTTTGTTCCTCTTTAAACACCTGCTTATTTCTTCATATTAGTTAAAAATATATATCAAAGCTGGATGCAATCAGAGCACCGGAGACAGTGGAGATTCAGCCACCAGAGCTGACTGTGGTCAATGCTGACACCCTACATTCATAACTGGCCCTTCCTCGTTCCACACTTTTTTACTGGTTTTTGGTCCTGAAGGGTGTACTTCTGTACACGTTCCTACTGAATTTTGTCCTTTTGAAAAAAATACAATGCTGTAATCTGTTAACGGTCATTTTGAATTATATCCCAGTCTTCCTGAGTTCCAATAATTTTCAGGGTATGAAAAGTCAGCTCTGCGATATTATTTGTACCCCAAAGTCAAGACTTGCAAGAACACTTCTTATAAGTTGACTTACCTCACTAAAATAGTGCACTCTTCCTATCTGAATTCTATCACCTGCTTATTACCCCTAGCATTTCTAAAAGATAGTTCACGGAGATGAACACAACAAAAAATTGAAAATGAAATGATGTGTAGTCAAAAACATGATACTAAGTAGTTTTTAATTATAAATTTAATTTCATAACAATTCATGTGACACATTGCAAACTCAGAAATCCTTATGTGTTTATAATTTTAAACTTCTCTTTTACGCAGCATTTTGAGAAAGGTAATGTAATGAAATCTCATTTACCTTTGAAAGCAACTTAATTTCCTGAAGGATATTCAGTGCTTAAAAGAATACTGCATCACCAAAAAACACTAACCAGAGTACCCTTTGCATTTATCCATATTAATAGATTTTTTTCTGAAATTATATTTTTAACACTATATTATAAAATTTTCAAACCTACAGGAAAGTTGAAAGACTTGGACAATGAGCATTTGAATAACCACCAGCTAGACTCTACAATTAACTTTTTACTATATTTGCCTTATCGTGTATTTATCCATCAATCCATTGTTATTGTAGTTATTGCAATTCAAATTACAGATATTAGTACACTTCACCCCTAAACACTTCAGCATGTATATCATTATTTTGGGTAAAATTTAGGTACAATAAAATCATAAGTGCATTCGATGAGTTTTGACAAATGCACACACCTCTGTAACCCAATCCCCTATCAAGATATAGAATATTACCAACCTCCCCAGACAATTCTCTCATAGCCCTTCTCAGGCTATCTCCAGCCTTCCTTCATCTTGAGGCAACCATTTTGTGATTATTTTTTACCAAAGATTAGTTTTGCCTGTTCTAGAATCTATATAAACAGAATCGTAGAGTACGCATGCTTTCGTGTAAGACTTCTTTCTCCTGGCATAAATGTTTTTGCAATTCATGTATGTTGCTCTGTGTATCAGTAGTTTGTTCCTTTTTATTGCTGGAGTAGTATTTTAGAGTTAGTTTAGCCATCCCCCTTGCACTTTTAAAAAAATCACTATCAAAAATCAATCTTAAACATTTAATCACTCATAATAACCTCCCAGGAAAAATATCAGAGTAATTATCCAAAATGTCATTTCTGAAGCCCACCTTGGGGCTTGACTAACGGGACATTTTAAGCCTTTATATTCAGTGGAAGGATTATAAATTTATGCTCTTTGTCACCTCCCAGCTCATCCATGTAGTAGAGACTCCTATAATAGCCAGTGTTGGTATAAAGCTGAGCTGCTTATAATAAACAAAACAAAATGGAATTTTATCTCTATTATTCTATTTCCCATCATCCCTAAAAAGAGTCAATTCTGATCCTTGATGACTCTAAAGTCCGCTAGATATGTTCACAGTAATGGACATGGAAATTTTCCCCTTCTTGCGTAAAAACAGTGGGCGACGTCAAGAAATGAAGGCCTCTGGCGGTATTAACTAGAAGGGATGGTTGATTTTATGTGTCAACTTGACCGGGCCAAATCAACCTCAGATAGCTAGTAAAACATTATTTCTGGGTGTGTCTGTGAGGGTGTTACCAGAAGAGATTAATATTCAAATCAGTAGACTAAGTAAAGAAGATAGCCCTCACCAAAGCAGGTGGGCATCATCCAATCCACTGAGGGCCTGAATAGAACAAAAGGTGGTGGAGGGCAAATTTGCTCTCTGTTCAGTTGGGATATCCACCTTTTCCTGCCGTCAGACATCGGTGCTCCCGGTTCTCAGGCCTTCAGATTCAGACCAAGGCTTACACCATCGGCCCCTTAGTGCTTGTGCCTTCAAACTCGGGCTGGAACTTACGTCATTGGTTTCTCTGGTTCTCAGGCTGTCAGGTTTGGACTGGAACTAAACCAGCAGCTTTCTTGGGTCTCCAGATTACAGATGGTAGATAATGGAATTTCTCAGCCTCCATAATTGCATAAACCAATCTTACAAAATATATCTCCTTCTATATATCTATACATATCCTATTCATTCTGTTTCTCTAGAAAACCCTAATACAGATATTGGTACCAAGAAGTGGGGGTGCTGCTGTAACAAATACCTAAAAATGTGAAAGAGGCTTTGGAACTGGGTGATGAGTAGAAACTGAAAGAAGTTTTAGGTGCATGATAGAAAACGCCTAGATTGCCGTGAACAGTATTTTAAAGGTGACTCTGGTAAGAAGAGAGGAGAGCAGCAGAGAAAACTTCCATCTTCTTAGAGAATACCTTTGTAATCATGAACAGAATACTGATAGATGTATGGTTGGTAAAAGCCATTCTGATGGGGTCTCAGACGGAAATGAGGAACATTTTATCGGACAAGGAAGAAAAGGCAATCCTTGTTATAAAATGGCAAAGAACTTGGCTGAATTGTGTTAGAATTCTAGTGTTCTGTGGAAGGTAGAACTTGTGAGCAATGAAATTGGATATTTAATTGAGGAGATTTCTAAGCAAAATGTTGAAGGAGAGGCTTGGTTCTTCCTGACTGCTTATAGTAAAATGCAAGAAGAGAGAAATGCTTTAAGACAGAATTATTAATAAAAACGGAAGCAGAATTTAAAGATTTGGAACATTCTCTGCATATCCATATCACAAAAAATGAGAAAGTGTGCTCAGGAGAGAACACTAAGGGTGTGGCCAAGCATCCATTTGGCAAAGAGATTAGTGTGGGTGTGAACCACAGATTTAACCAGCCATCCAGCAGGAAAACTGCCAGTTTGAACTGAAGAGGAAGAAGATGGGAAGGAAGGAAGGAGGCTGGTGGACTTCTTGGATTCTACAGGATGGAATCATAGGGCTATTTGGCTGCAAACATGCACTGTTCTTCAAGGGAAGGGAAGAATGACCCCAAAGGTGATTCAGAGATCATCAGGGCTGCCTCCTCGATTTCAAAAGGGGGGACCTGCTTTCAACAGGCCAGACAGCCTCTGCCCAAAGCCATGGGGGTAGGGTGCCTGGTCAAGTCCTGGGGGCACGACTCCTGCCCAGCAGAGCTGCAGGGGCAGGACCACCACCACAGCGGGTTGAGAAGGTGGGACTGTCACCCCAGTGGGCCTGGAGGGTACAATATTGAGCCAAAAAGGATTATTTTGAGCCTTGAGATCTCATGAAGTTTGCTAAGTTTTAGACTTGCCTGGGACCCATCACTGCTTCCTTCTTTCCTATTTCTCTCTTTTAGAACGGGAATGTCTATCCTATGTCTGTCCCACCATTGTATTCGGGAAGCACATAACTTGCTTGGTTTCACAAGTTCACAGCTGGAGAGGAATTTGCCTCAGGATGAATAGTACCTCAAGTCTCAGAGTCTCACCATATCTGATTTAGACGATATTTACTTTAGACTGTAGAGTTA